ATTATCGCCGTTATCAATATATGGAGAGAGGGAGGTAACGAATCTGCTATCTCGACGCATAATCTCGTAAAACTGAAAAAAAAACTACTACTGAATTCACTTTTGATTAAATTTTCAACGGAACGTATATATGTAAACATATCTATAGGAGGATATATGTATGTAATTTTCCCATTTACTTTTTAGATAATTTCGGAAAGAGAATACTACGAATCGACTTCAACAATAAAAAGCATTAGCTCAAAACTCCAAGCATACAATCCGATAAAAATGAAAAAGAAAAAAAAAATCAAAAAAGGGAAGTAAAATATGATGGATTTCCCAAAATAGAACTAGGCTTGCGTATTCCTAGTCCCTGCTAAAAATCCACCATAGCCAAAACAGCAATACCCCAAAATGAATAAAAAATTTGCTTCAATCTTCAATCACTCATTTCCCTCCACGTTTACCCTTGCCATTCTTCGAATTAAACCTGAGATACAAAGTAGTATATAGGTGACAAACGTCCAAAAATAAAAAAGGAAAACAGAAATAGGAAATAAATAGATGAAGTTGGCTAAAATTATGTTGGTTTATCATACTTGTTCCCAGATTTGCCAGAAAATTGACCACCACCAGCTTTAGGGCTTTGTTTTGATTTGTTGGGAGCTTTTCCAGCCGGAGCTTTAGTAGCAGCAGGTTTTGAAGGTAGAGGAGTTGCATTCTGACCCTTCTTACCTGCATAAATTTGAATTTGAATTTAGTAAAGCACACATAAATTCAACCCAAGCAAACAATATTTGTCGGCCAAAATCAAGTGAACAAATATTCGGGCTACGTAATTATTTTTGTGATCATCAGGGTGAATTTTCCAGGTGTTAACAAATATCAACAGACATAAGAAGAGTGAATTTGAAACCTGTCTTATCAGGTGTAGAGGCTTTAGCCTTCTTGGCGGCCATATCTGGAGCTTTTTCTGCAGGCCTTTTCTTTGCTTGCTGCAAAATTCGGCACAACAATAAAGTATATGAAGTAGGAGTTACTAAAGCAAATGCATAAACACTTGAAAAAGCCAAAGCTGTACCTTTGGGGTAGGCTCTTCCTCCTCATCATCAGAATCATCATCCTCTTCATCAGAATCCTGAAAGCCCAAATCAAGGTTTACTCAAATATCCATCCACAATTATATTATCACAACTATTAACAAGATAAAAAATCAAATTGTATTTCCATTCAGCAATTGGCGGAACAAATGGTGAATACTCAATAAAGCAAACAAAAGCCAAATTCATATATTTGCAGGCATTAGAAGAAAAAACACATACTTCACCAGACTCATCATCACTAGAGTCGACTCCAAAGGATGATGCATCAAGTGCCATTTCATCAACATCTTCAGAGTCATCTTCACTATCATCAGAATCAAGCTTCTCATCCTTCTTCACAGGCTCAGGCGCAGCTTTTGCTGCCTTAGCTTCATTGGCAGCCGCAGCACCATTAGCAGCCTTAGCATCCTCAGTCTTGGGCTTAACATCACCTAAAAGAATTAGCAGTTAAAGAAAAGGTAGAAAATTAATTCACATGCAGTGTTCAAATCTCCGTTGCATTTAAGGGGAGTTTACTACCATTATCCTGATTTTCCAGTTGCTCGTCCTCAGACACATCCTCAGAATCATCAGAGGAGACATCATCAATGTCTACAATATGGAAAACATGAATAATACGGTTAAGATTAAACAAATACTCCTCAAAAGGGCAAGAAACAAAAGGATGAACATAAAATTTAGTATCAATTGGGTATAGAGCAAGCATATTCACCTGAAATTGGGTCATCAGCAACATAACCCATGAAGTACACACTTCCATGTTTCAGATCATGTGAGAGTTCAAATTGCTTCTCGAAAACCAAGTCAAACATCACCTGAGTCCTGTCTTCAGCCGAAAGAGAACCGATAACAAAGTCCTTATTGTCAACTTTGAGCCGAAGGGAAACTCTCTTGGCTCCTTTGACATCCTTAACCTCACCCAATGAGGCCTGCAAAACAAAGAGATACAATTTTAACAAAAAATTAACTTGGAAGCAATAAATGGGCAACAGAGCAGATTGAAAGATCGCCACTTTATAAAGAATATCACCCTAACCTGTGAGATGTGAATCAATGATCCATTATCGGGTTTGACCTTAAGTGGTTCCCCAGCTTTAACTTCAACACCTGATACGTATCAGTAAAGCAGTAAACGGACGAATTAGAAACCACGAAAAGATTAACAAAAAATGCAGGATTGGCCTTAACGCTTCAAACCCAGAAAACCAAATAAACATTGACGATTATTTCCACGACAGATGACATAATCTTATAAAACAAATACATAATCACAAAACTACTGCAATCTATCCATGTACACCTACAACTCCTAAACTATGAAACGAACAAGGAAATGGAACAAAATGACTGCAGTAATGACTTTGATGGATTGGAAAGGCGCAAACATGTATAAACAAACTGTTCGTAAGGCGATAAAGAAGCAGAAATCCAAACATAAGATAGACCGTTAACACTTTGAAGCTAAACAAATCCAGCAAAACATGGGAAAAAGTTTTAAATGAAGATACATTATATATCTAAAGGACAGCAGATCCTTAAAAATAATTCAAGAACAGCAAACGTACCCCAAAACTCCATCGTCAATGAAATTGGCAAATGAGAGCTAGCTACTTTCTAAGTTTGTAAGGAGGCTAAGGTCTGGGGGTTCTGCAAGGATTTTATAGACGGAGACAACGACTATAATAGGGTTTATAGTCTGAGCGCCCACAACTAGGGTTTTGATAATAGGTAATATATGCTTATTTCCTCTTTAACTGTTGTGTATAAAATTCCAGTGGGCCGGAGGTTTATATTAGTTGGGCCTTGCTTTACATTAGAGGAGTTTCCAAAGTACAATGCTATAACCATTGATGGATAAAGCAACAAACATGTTAAACTTAAAAGTCATTGAGGTTATGTTTAACTAAGAAATTTACAGTTTGTTTTGGTACACTTGTGAAAATTATTTATTGCGTTTTTTGGACGAATGTATAATTCTTAAAAGAATTCAAAATGATCCATACTAGTATCTACATGTTTAGTGAGATTCTTTAAGGCTAACTAGTACGAGTCCCGTGCACTGCACGGGTAAGAGATATTCATTAATATTTATAAATTAAAATTTTTTTATTAAATAATATTTGTAAATTAAAAATATAGAATCAAATACCTATATTAATTTGTTGAAAATATTATATAAAGTTTAAATTATGAAAAATTACATAAAAATGTCTATTTAAAATTAGTACACAACCCATGGATACATATAACTGATAATAAATTACATTATATTCGTTTCAAAATAAGTGTCATTTCAAATTTTTTATTCAGAAATTCGATTTGACTATAATGTGATTACATAAAACAATTATTTTGATAAAATTTTATCATATATTTAACAACATATGTGAATAATAATTATAAATATAAAATTTATATTGTTTCATTACTTAAAATAATTTATTTTTGTATAAACTATTCAAATAAAAAAAAATTAAGTAGTTGAGTAATTTATTGAACTATAAATAATTGACTATTTCATTCACGTCCAAGTTAATATTGACCCGTAAGTTATGAATAATTGTTTTTTATTTTATTTTTATTTTTAAATAAAAATATTTTTATTTTTTTATATATTATATACCAAATTTAAACTATGCAACTAATAAAGGTAATAGCTGCAAGTTTTGTCAATATATTATATTTCACATTTAAATTATTCAACAAATAAAGGTAATAGCCGCAATATTTGACCAAAATAATTTTGTACATTAATTACATTAATTTAGGCAGGATTTTTCAAACTTTGGCAAGAAAAAAGAATTGCCCAATTTAGTAATTCTGAATTTTTAGGCTGGAAAACCAAATATTTTTTTTTATTGATTTTTAGTTACTATTTCAAGTAAATATCATTGTATTTTTATATATTAATAGATGTCATATTTTTGTAGCGTGCTATGCCACGGGATTTCACGATTTGTTGATTATTAGATATTTAATGATAAATTGTTTGAATCAAATAATTTGTTGACATTAACGTGAAAAAAAATATTATTTAGTAGTAAATTTAAATTTATATCATTCATGATATTAAATATTCAATATTTGATTTTATGTTTATATTAAGTACATATTACTTAGGTCACATAATTTCATAATTTTTAATTACTTATTTTGATTAATAATCAAATAATTTATTTTCTTTTTCTTTTGAAAATCTAAGGACTCTTTTTTTTTTCTCCCCCAACGAAATGAAATGAGTCTAAAATAATATATAATTGGATGTGATTTACTTGCCAAACATTGGATGTGATTTATTGGTTAATAAATTGTTTAAGCGGGACATGCAAAAAATTTCAAAAATATTTGCTGAAAATTGTTCAAAACGAAAAACAGAAGCGGGAAAGAATGACTAAAGAAGCGGGAAATGAAATATTTTTTTGAAAGTTTTTCAAATAGTTTTTCTTCTCCTTATTATATAGTAATAGATGTAAATTTATCTGACATATATATTATATTTTTATATATATTATATTTTTATATATTAAACTTAATTGATGTAATGTATTGGTTAATATTTTAAGCTATCAGTATAATATTAGAAATTTATTAGATTACCAGATAATTACACTATGTATAAGAAATTTCCAAAATATTTATACCAACACTTTCAATAATTTATCTATTAAAAGAGAAGAGAGTAAATTATTGCAATAAACTCAAAAAATATGACATTTAGAGAATAATTTTCAAGGTTAATATTTGCTTCAAATATTTAATTATTTAGGTGCACAATTATCAGTATATATGGTTACTTTGTATATTTAGGATTAGGAATAATTTAAGGGCTATTTACATGCATCCAATGTGTTTTGGAAATAATCTATCTATACTTATATAAAAAGACATCATATTTACTAGAAATAGTAGGTAGAAAGGTCAAAATTAATTAATGCTTGCTGAAAATAGAATTACATTAATTACAGATTTGTTTTGGTATTTATAGTCTTGACATTAAAGATTTGTTATGGGATAAAAATCAGAACCGATTTTTTTACCTTTGCTGAAAAAGTCAAAGGTAAGTATAGATTTGTTTTATCCCATAACATCGGTTTAGTTAAAAAAATCCCATAAGATCATGATTAATATCATAATAAAAATCATGATAATTAAGGAACTTTTGTAACTATAATAAAAACATAACAAAACAAAAGAATCATAATGGGACATTATGATTAATCTGTAAAATTGCAAACATGTCAAATGGTGCCATTACTTTTAATCCAAAAAGAGTTTAAAAATGCAAATATAGATAGATTTTTTTAAGAGAATCTAAACGATCTTAAGATTCCCAAACATATGAAACGTGTATGCATAAAAATCTCATTTCTATGAACATATATCATAAATATGAGAAGAAAATTATGTTTCTTTTTATGGGAGGTAACTAAGTTTTCAATGTTTCAATATATATAAAAAAAATTAATTAAATTTCTAAATAATTTAAAAATTTTCAAAGTTTAAACTAAATGATAAATGATTTATAAATCTACATTTTATTTAAATATGTATTTTCATTTATATTAAAAATAATTTTAAATGTAACAAAATTTATTTCAAAAATATCGATATTTTCGATGGACTGGTGTTGACAGGTTTGCTAGCAAACATTTTATTCAAGCGAACAGGACTAGTCGATAAACCAATTCCCTATTTATCCGGTCAGAGTACTGTCCGGTCTGGTCCAATTTTAAAAACAATGGATAAATCATGATTAATATTATGTATATATTTAATTTATAATACAACTATAATATTATTTCTCTGTGCATTGCACGGGCCACGTACTAGTTGTAACTTTACGATTGAAACAAAAAGAATTGCATCTATGCCAATTTTTTGTGAAATAATTATTGAGTTGCCTAATATCAGTTTCCAACCTATAAAAACGCATGCCCTTAAAATTCGCAACTGATGTGTGTTGAATAAAGAAAAAAAAACAAAATATTTGATATATATGGTAAAATATATATCCTAGAAAATAGCTTAACCGTTTGACTGAAAAATAGAAAGACAATAAATATGAAATCTAGCTTCATCGTCTCCTAAATAAACAAACAAACGATGAGGAGGATTCTCTTCCATGATCAAGAGCAAATTTTGAGAATAATAAAATCAGAAAAAACGTATATTTGTTTTCTTTGAATATTGTTTTGTTTTTTACATACTATTTTATATTGTAAATAAAATCAGAAAAAAGGTATGTGTTTTCTTTGAATTTTGAGCAAATTTGGAGAACAATAAAATCAGAAAAAAGGTATATACTATTTTATATTGTACATTTATATCCAATTTATTTTCAGTTTATTATACGTTTATACACAACTAACATAAAAAACACGGCAAAAACTACAAAAGTAAACGAAACAAAACTATTAATATACATAAACCATGAGAAAATCGTTGTTCTCAGTATTTTTGCCTCAACAAAGTTATCTTTGAACTTTTCCACCAACATCATTATTATATTTAGTATATTTCTGGTATATGTTTCGTATACAGAATCTGCAACATGACGACATGTTCCGTTTTAGGTATACTGAATATTTTAGGTATATTTTAGGTACATGTTTTGTATATATATTTTAGGGTTTTAGGTATACTGAATATTTTAGGTATATTTTAGGTACATGTTTTGTATATATATTTTAGGTATACTTATACTGAATATGTTTCGTTTGTATTCAGTATATTTTGGCTATATAATTCGTATATGTTTCTCACCATTTTGTGAACACGACAGAGCTAATAAGAACCATGACAAAAAAATCAAACATCCATTCACATAAAAAAATATTCAAGTTAAAACATAAATACACAACAGACTACAAATAAAAACAAAACAAAAAAATTAATATATTACGTTTATGTTAGTATATATTCAGTATATGTGCGCAACTGGAATTTCTTAATTCACGCAGTTGTCAGGTGATATATATTGCGTTTATATTAGTATATATTCAGTACATGTTGCAATCAGTTTATGCTAAATATAAATTGATTTTATACAAAAAAAAAATTAGTTTATGCTTTGTCAAATTTGTTTTCTAACAAAAAGATCTTCGAATATACCCAACATAAACTATGAATAAAACATTAAAAACAGATAAAATAAACATCCATTCACAAACTAATTGTACATAACTAAGACAATAACAGTACATAGCTAAGATTTACATGTACGGTACATATACTCCCTTTTTCTCTCTCTCTCTTTTTTTTTTTTTTANCATAAACAATACAAAACCACAAACCTACACAGAAAATGCGCACAGAAATTCCACAAGCAAAATCACATATCCAAACACCAATCAACAAAACAGAAACCAACGTCTCACCGATTTCTTATTGAGTAACACACAGATGCACACGAGCGAAACCGTCAACGACAACCACGTCGGCATCGATTCGAATGCCTTCCGCTCCAACTCCTCTGCCCCTGTGGCGTACTTCGCCGGGGGTTCGAAGATCGATCTCAATCTCATGTCCGGCAAGTCGATCGTGGCGTGGATCGACTATGATTCCGGCACGAATCTCGTCAACGTCACCATCCCGCCGTCATCAACAAAATCCCTAACCCCTCTCCTCTCCTACAGAATAGATCTGTCTCCGATTCTACACGAAACTACGTTCGTCGGATTTTCCGCCTCCACAGGCCTGTTCGCAAGCTCCCATTTCGTGCTTGGATGTAGCTTCACAACGATCGAAAAAGATCCGCCATTGGATTTACGTTCCCTGCCTTCAATCCCAGAGACCAAAAATTAAACACACAGGCCTAACCATAGGACTCATTGTCTCTGCTTTTCTCTTCTTACTCTAATTTCAATTTCCATTTTTTACTCACTGTCTTGACCATTGAAGAGTGAATTGGGGAAAAGGATGGAGCGGTTTGCAGAGGGAGAGAGAGGATAACGTGGGCATGAGAGAATGAATTTTTTGATCCAATAAGTATATATTTAATTTCAATTAAGGATCTTATTTGCATTTAAGATGCCTAAAAATAAGGTAATAACCGTTACGTCTCAATCTCAGATAAAATTGAAATATTTTTGGCTTAGTCAGACAATTTTATAAATAAGATTATAAGGAGCATATAAGTGTAATAAAAATCATAACTTGTGGTAAGGTGTGCAAATTCGTCAATAATTTATGTTGGTGAATACATAGACGGACTTTGGATACCAAAACTCCATTTTAAAGAAGCAAGGGAATAGAGATTTTTGGGGAAGTTGATTTATAAAGTGGAATTTTAAAAAATGCTTCCAACAAGCACTTACTCGCTAGTGGTAGTAGTGTTGCAATTTACTTGGCCATGACACTTTGTGTTTGGTGTTTTGTTTACATATACGAAACCACTATCAATATCCAAAAGCTACGGATAATTTCTACGTTAAATTATTTTAGTAAGGAGACATCAAATCATTCAAAGTACTCTATTCAATTTATGAATCCCTACAGTTTTCGAATATGAGAAACCTCTATTAAAAGTAACAAGCAGCAAGCAAAATTTTAAGTACTTTTCAGTACGAACTATATGCATTACAACAATAGTCAGCTTAGTTCCTTTTCACTAAGCCGATCAATAATGTTACAGAACAATAATGTAGCACAATGTCACACAACAAACACACTAAGCTAAAATAAAATAAATTAAAAAGAAGAAAAAACAACACATTACTTGTCTAACTCTATTACATAATACATGTATCTTGATGCTCCTTTTCTATCGATCAAGATGAAATATATGTTGTTTACCAAACATACTCAACTGTAGTATACATACTTGTGTAATATAAAAACACTTGCAACGATCGTTTGGCGCAATTTTACCCAAATGCCGGAATTAAGAGCTTGGGACAATGGTGCCAACATAGCCAAATCCCGCAATCGTAAAAGTGATGACTTGAAGGAAAAGGTATATGAAATAATTGTTCTTTCCGTACATAAAGTCATAACATCCGCATACGAATAGAAACACTGCGAAACCGAGCTCGTGTACCAAAATTCTGAAAAATACAACAAAAGGCAAATGAAATATATTGTTAGTAAACAAGCTTTAATCTATGAGCATCATACCTTTTTAGAATAACAATTTGTTACTAACCCGTATTATTCATATAATGATTAAGTACCAAATTTGGATGAAAAGAGTTTTAGTAGAATGAGAATTTGTGAATTACCTATCTCCAAGGAATTTAGATAGGGACCTCTTAGGTGCACTTGATTTGTTTTTGGATTTGTTCTTGAGGGTGTCTCCAAGTTTTTCGGTCACAACCCATTCATTCGCTCTCTTGGCCTCCAATAGGCCGATAAGAGTGGCTTTTGTTCGATGGAAGGACATGACATTCTCGAAAAGGACCCAATAGAACAACAAATGGAATGACCTGAAAATGTAATGATCTTGATCACTATAAGGCAACAACAATGAATTATATTAATCAAAGGGAAAAAAAAAATTGGATAGTTTCAAGTATGGCCTAGAATATTAATATCTTTCACAATAAAAAAAACAGTTTTGCTATGAAGCCAACAGTTGGCTCCATAGTAAAACGGTTTAATTATAATAAGTGTACCTTGGAGTGCCAACAGAGTTGAGGGTGGTGATTATGCATGGAATGTAAATGGCTCCCCATTTAGGGACATCGACCTCCGGTACAAGAATCGTCAATGGCAACACAACGCAATAAAAGAAGAAAGTGAACATATGGGCTATGATCTTTCGCACAAAGAAGAAACTGTAGATCACGTAAAACTTCTTGTAAAGCGTCACTTTCTGCACATAACATAGACAAAGATTAGTTGTCCTTGTTACATGATACCAATAAAGTCCAATTATATAGGCAAATACCTTGTTAGTAACAATTTCCATAACCATTTTGCGGAAAAGATTAGCCGGACCGCAAGACCACCTGTGCTGTTGGAAACGGAAGGCCTTAAATGTACTTGGAAGTTCACTCTTCACCTATGTTACAAAACACAAATATATATGTTATTAGCCACAATCATGGCCTTTATTCACTTTTTAAAGATATTTGAATTTTTCTTTCCAAATTGACTGACATGAAGTTGCATGAATAATAAATATTAATACCTGAAGGTCACCTAAGTATAGAAATTTCCAGCCCTTGAGACCAGCTCGAACGGCAAGATCCATGTCCTCAACTGTCGTTCGGTCTTTCCATCCTCCGGCCTCGTTTATTGCCGCAATTCGCCATATTCCACCAGTCCCTATATATATCAAAATTTGTTATGCCTATTTGTTATTTGCATAAACAAATGAGTTTCTTGGGAAATGATTTTATTTTTATAGGGGAATGCCAGTTGCAAAATAATAATTTTGGCTTATTAGTTTGTAACAATAACAAAAAAGCATCATTAGAGATGAAAAGACTTGCATCTCACTTTAGGAATTAGGGTGATGATTTTGTTGTTGTAAAAGTGATTAATAATATTTTTTTAAGTATAATTACTCATCGTCTTTATAGCACAACTCTATGGAATAGTGGGCATAATTAATTAGTTAATTAAGCAGATTTATCAGTGTAATTAGAAAAGGAAAGAGTTACCATTAAAGCCAAAGAAGGCGTGAGTAGCGGACCCCACTTCTTGCTCCACAGTGAAATGATAGTCCAAAGACATTTCTTGCATTCTTGTCAACAAGCATTCATTAGCGTTCACTGCAAAATGATTAAGTCCAAATTGTTTTATGTTCTTTAAAGTAGTCATGCCCAATAACACATGAATCAAACACTTGCTCTTCATATTTCACCACTCTAAAAGTTTTTGCTTTCTATACATATGTAAATATATATGTATTATTATTAATTCATTCATGACACCACTTTTTAGATAGTAAAAAAACTAGAGGCAACAATATGAAAGAAATATAATATAAACAATATTTGGAAAGATAAGCATAACAATCGAACGTGTTTTAATTATATTGATAATATTCAGGATAATATTGTTATGTTAAAGTTTAATTAGATTTGAGTTAAAAAAGTTATTGGTTAAAAATAATTAAATTTTTTGAGAAATCTTATCCAATCATCCTCCAAGCTTACATAGAAACTCAAGGAAAGAAACTATTTTTTCTTTTTTTTTTTTCTTTTTTTTGAGTATCAGTGGATCACTATTCACTATTGTTCCCTCCACCAATCTGACCACGGGAATAACACCACGTGCTGCATTTAACACAGCTCTACGCCTCTACCCCTACACTGACATCAGCCAGCTCTATAACTGCCCTTTGTCTGCTTAGCAGCAAGTACAAATTTGCCCCCGTAGGCCGACATCATTACTTCCAGTTCTAACTAAATGGTCAGGACAATTTCGTCATTCCCGCCCTTGGGGTTGACGAATTAATTTAACACGACTACCGCAAAATCAAGAAAAAAGCATACTATTATTTTATTTTATTTTTCTGATTTGTACATCCAAACTATACATGCCAATTACAAAATTAATCGCGAAGCAGGTAATATGTAAACAGCAGATATTACCAACACTCGTAAATGCTCCACTAAGAACCAACTATTCTTCTTTAATCTGTTTGTTACGATTATGCTCTAATTCTATTTCAATTTATCAAATTCTAAAATACATCCCTCCCTATATATTAATTGAGAACGTGCTGAGTCTATGTGGCAGGCTCGCATGCTTCGGGATCTTATGTGGCAAAAATACATGCTTCGTTATTAGGCTTGGGTAGATTTAGTTTACTTCTAATCCAAATATATTTAGGTTCGAATTATTTATAATATGTTGATTATTTATGATAAGGGTGGGCGCCGGCCAGGACGGTCTTGGATTTGACTTGTCCGGATACTCATCCCACTTTTAAGAATCCGTCCATGAACGAAGCACCGTCGCCACCCATGTAATACATGGGTGTTGTACTAGTTTAGCTTTAATTAACAAAGTATCATCAAATTTAATACTCAATTATTCATCCTTTCAACCTGATAAATCATTTACTTATTAAAGTATTTGCAGACGTGTTCTAACCTAAATAGTAAATAAAGTTGAAGTACAACATCTACAAAAGCATGATTAGATATGTTGGGTCCTCATATACCGTGATGTACGGCGATTATTAATTAAAGAAGCGGCTTAAATGGTACCATATCCTGCTTCAATTCAACGGCCTCCAAAAATGGCCCTACCCTCAAAAGTCATCAGCAAGGAAGAAAAAAAAGGCGGAAAGCAAAATAAGCGAGAGAAAGAGAATACTTGCACAATTCACGGTAGGATGATTGGATTTTGTTTGAATTTTTTTTTTATTTGATTTGGTTAATTTTGAAAAAATTGATATGGTTAATTGTTAGTGGATATATTAAAATAATATTTAAAATAAAATGATTAAAGTTGATTTGATGTAAAGTAGGAGAGACAAGATTTGAAGTGATGTTAGTTAAAATCATGTGAGTGGATGAATAGTGAATTAAGGTAAGGTGGTGTGTAAGAATGAATGATTGATATTATTTAATTATATTAATAATATTGATAATAGTAGGGTTGAGTTAAAGTTGAGTTAAAAAAAGTAGTTGAGTTAAAAATGTTTGGATTTTTTTGAGAAATTTTGTATCCAAACATGCTCGTTTCTTCATAAATAATTTTATTTAATTAAAAATAATAACCTCTTGCAATGTATTTGACCCTAACCTAATGTTAATTAATTTGTATAATGAGTTATAATTATGAGAAATTGAAGAGGTAATTAATGGTATAGAGAAAAGTAAGGCTTACCAAACCTCCATCGAGCTTGCACAAGAGCAATATCAGGGTTATGGATCAGAAAAGGGACGGCCCGTCTGAGAAAGTCGGGTTCGGGCCGAAAATCAGCATCAAATATGACAACATACTCACAATTCTTGACATAATCATGCTTCAAACCCTCTTTTAGGGCACCTGCTTTGTAGCCTCCTCTTGTCTCCCTAATTTGGTATCTAATGTTAATGCCTTTGCTACCCCACCTAATGCATTCTTTCTCAACCATATCCTGCAAAAACCATTATTATTTTTTGTTTCTCATTAATGCCAAAAACCAACAATTATAACTAATTCTTGCACTTGTGCACACACCAACTTCAAAATTCAATCATTCTATTTCTAATAAATTAAACTGATGAAACTAATATTGGAAAAGTAGCTTATACTACTCCCTCCTATTCATAAGAAGTGTCGTTTTGAAAGTTGCACACTAATTAAAAATAATTTTTTTGTCAATAATAATTCTCATTAATGAAGATAGAGATGAATGGTTTAAAAAAAAGATGAAGAGAATATGAAAAGAGGTAGTGTATTTATCATAGTTTTTAAACCCGGCCCGGTGATCGATCCGGGCAGGTCCTCGGGTCACCGAGTCACCAGTTCAACCGTCGGGTCACAGGGTCAATTGCTGAACCGGATAATTAATTTTAAAATTTTTAAAATTATATATATAGTATTTTTGTTATATAAATATACATAAAAGTAACAAAATTAAATGTTTTGTGTATAAAATTTGTATATTAAAGTGTTAATATTATGTATGTCATGATAAATATTTACCATAAAAGCATATATACATAGTTTTATTTTTAAAAATTAAAAAAAATATAAAAAATATATATGGACCGGGTCAACCGGGTTGACCCGGCCGGGTCAATGCCCCAGGTCGACCTGGTCTCGGCCGGGTCGACCGGGTTTGACCGGGTCCTTGGTTGCCCGGTCCAAATACTACACTCGAACCGGTTCCAGCTCCGGGTCAGTCCAGGTCACAAAACAACAGTGGTATTTATTAACTAAATGAGGGTAATAATGGAAAAATATATACAAAAGATCTAAAATGACATTTATTTTGGTTAATAGTTGATAAAGCCAAAATGACATTTAAAAGAAATAGAAGGTAGTATAATTTATTTTCAGTCATCTTGGAATTAGAAAATTTTAAAAAAGCTACCAAAATCAATTAAAAGGAACTAAATTCTGTTGGTCAAACGCTTGGTCCACAAAATGTACTAGCGATCATCTATGCTACTGCTACAAATTGAAGTTGCAAGGATTAAGTTCAAAACAAAGATTTAGTGAAATGTTTAATTTAAAGAACAGCTATTGAAACGAACTGATCAGAAAAAGGAAATCTTTGCCAGCCAACCGAAATTGATGAGATACTATAAAAGAGACAGAAATTCATTGCCAAAACTTATAATGGCACTGTGCTTCTATCCGAAAAAGAAACATTAAACAAGATTTTGGTTTTCTAGATTTTCATGAGGCCAAATTTCCAGATATAAAAAATTAAATTACCTTGATGATAAGGTCAGTAGAATCATCAAGTACTTGAATCACCAATCTATCGGAAGGCCATGAAAGATTACAAGCAGCACCAATTGAGATCTTGTAAACCTGTCTCAATTCATAAAATAAATAAATAAATAAATAACTCCTCAATTTCTCCATTTTCTCACACACACACACCAAAACAAACGATTCCGAAAAATNGAAAAAAAAAAAAAAAAAAAAGACCTCTTTCTCATTGAACATAGGGATCTGAACAAGAACAGTAGGAAAGGCTTCACTGCCCATCTCTATATCATCATCATCATCACACATGGGCTCATATTTGTATCTCTTTTCCGGCTTTTTCCAGAACAATTTGACCAGAATAATAACAACACCCATGTAAAGCCTCTCCAAGAACACCATTATGGACATGGCTAAGCAAATGTACACACTCACTCTCAGCAATGGGACTATCAATGGCGCCCTTATTAGATCCCACAAAACACCAATTTGCCCCGGTCCTCTATACACCGGCAAAGCTTCCACTATCAAGCTTTTTGCAGAGACTTCACCCATTTTTATTTTTATTTTTTTTTCCTGAAAGAAAATCAAGAAGAAGAAAAAAAACAGGGGAGATTGAGAAACAGGGGATTGGTTAGATGTGCTTTATCTTGGATTTATGGAAAACTGAGATAGATCTGATTCATAATCTATAAAATGGAAAATGTAGTGTGAATAATCAATAAAGGGATTACGCTGAAAAGGAAAAAAAAATAATTCTAGAAATCTCAATATTTGGACATAGAATAGTTTCCTTCCTTCTCTCTGTTTTTTTAAGTTTGGGCTGGAGCAAATACTTCTTTGTTTCTTTCTACTAACAGCTGAATAGAAGAGAAACAGAGAAGCATTGCGGCATTGTGAGGGAGAGAGAAGTCGGAGTAATAATGTGTGAGTGAGTTGTGAGAAAGTGGAGTTATTTTATAGTCGATATTTAGTCTGATCTTGGGATTATTTCTTGCCACTATTACTCATTATGTATTTATTTTTTCCAAAAATAATAACTTGTACAAATATCGTTGCAATGTACAAGTAAAAAATATTCATCGATATTTATAAATTAAAAATACTGATTAAATTATTTTATAAAAATATAGAATCAATATATAACACAATTACATATATTAATTTATTAAAAAATTTAAATGAAATTTAAATTGTGCAAAATTACATAAAACATATCTATTTAAAGTTTGTACACAACCCGTACGGTGCAAGTAACTGATAATAAAATAAATTATATTTATTTCAAATAAGTATCATTTTAAAGGTTTTATTCATAAATTCGATTTGACTACAATATGATTCAACCATTCAGTGAGCAGTTGGCTGAGTTGGTATCGTGGGCAGATGCAACACAATGCGAGAGCACTTTGTGGAGAACGGTCGATAATTGTTTGACCTGGCAGTTAGTGGAAAATCTAAGTACTTGTAAGAGGGTTGCGTGAGTTGGCATACGCGAGCGTTGTAGAGTGTGTATGGCCAGCACCTATAAGGTCAGAACTAATGAGTTTGGCGAACGCTAGATATAGCGAGTAAGGCTAGAGTTGGCATACCTCGATAGCGTAAGTAAAGCCAAAGGTACTAGACTCTCGAGTGAAAAAAGACTATTCGTGCATGCACAAGATAGCTTGAGTGGATGTTTGATCGTGTGTATGCAGTGTGGCATAGTCCTCTGTATGGTTGAGCAATAATAATGTAGTGGTTGGGCTTTGATCGACAATTGTGCATGTACCATTCATTATATATACTCCCTCTATTTAGTATTAAATGTCGTTTTAGGTTGAATTTTTTATTTATAGTAATCAATCCCATAATTAGAATAATTAAAAAATAAAAGATTAAATATTGATAATACTTTTGGGTCTCTCTTTAATGGTAGCTTCACATTCTCATTTTAAGAATATTGACTCATTTGATTCAATCTCTCTATATATGTGTGTGTGATATATGTCTTTCGCATAACTTTTTTTTTTTTTTNGTGAATTATTTTCGTATTTAAACCAAACATAAGTTGTTTTATTAAACTCGTTACCACAAGGGAGTCAAATGTTTTTCACCCGTTGTGTTGAACCATTAATTTACTTTATATGCAGAATACGATGAGTGTATTGATATGGATTTTTAAACATTGTTTAAAATTTTATCGTTTGAAAATTTATAAAGTCTAAGCAAATCACAATGTATCAATTATGGATTCAAAAAGTCTTAAAAAGTCAAGCAATATTCAATTTATTTAGCACTTAGATTTGAGTGAAAATTTATGACTTTCTGGGATACCAGTGACGAAATTACGACAACAAAATATTACACCAAATCCCACCTTCGGACATGAGATTTCTAAAGATTCCACTTAAATCAAAGAATCTTAAAAGGTATAATATAATATCGGATGTTAAAAAATCTTAAAATGTCACTCAAAATCCAAACGAATACACCCCTACCTTTTTGGTTTCACGACACAATATTTTAACTTTGAAATGATAAAATGTTATAAGTGCAACAAATTCCTACTTGTATTTGTTGACATAAAACATTTCTCTTGTTAAATGAGTAAGCATTGAGTTTCTTTTTTGCCTCCTTGTTCCTCACAAGAATCTTGAAATACTGCCAATTATTATTCATATATATATATATAAATATATACTAGTATGTATATTAATTTTGGAAAAATTTATAAATTGAAGGTTATTATTCAATAAGTTATAATATGTTGGGCATTTGTAAAGTAATCATAAATTCTTCGTTAGTGGTAATGCGTCATACATTATTAAAAGTGTCCTTGTAAACAACATTATTAGTTTGATTAATGGGTTACTCATCGTACCCACAAACTAATATTTTCAACCAGTTACACGTGAAACAATAATGTATAACTGGTTGTGACTAAAAACGGTTTCTTCAAGAAAAACCCAACATGCGATAAAGACTGACCCTAATAATATATGTGTTTTCGTATTTTCGTGTAAGTTGTTTTTATTGTATGAGTTAGATTGGATATTTATAAGCATCATATTTGTGTCAAAGCAAAAAAATATGGTATAAAATTAAAGTGATAATATGGTATAAACTCTTAAAATTTATTGAATCGGGTGCTTACCGGTGCCTCATTTGGAAATGATTGACCGTATGTAAAACACTCTACAAGGAACAAACATCTCAATGAAATTCTAGACGACTATATTTTATTTCATATTTCTTTAAATTAATAGTCCTACTTTTTATATTTTTATGATTATGATTTATGTCTGATTAGTCAAAACTCAAAAGTAAATGGGCTCTAAGCAACGCGGGAAATTGCGCGATTTGCGGTTGAGCTCCAAACTTGCACAAGTCTATTGTGTCGGTTGTATTTTCTACTTTCAGCCCCAAACGAGCAGATAATAACAATATAAGAATTAAGAAGTAATGACTCGTGATATTTTTAATTTGTTAATTCCAGTCTGCTACGATTTACTGATCTATATATTTAAATAAGTTTGGTTTGTGTTTACTCTGGGAGGTGGAGTCATAGTTTGGAAGAGTGTCAAGCAGAAATGCACGGCAAACTCCACAATGGAAGTCGAATATGTTGCATCCTTAGAGTCAGCAAAGGAAACGGTGTGACTCAGGAACTTTCTGTTAGACCTTAACATGATACCGAGTTTGCCCGCTGCAATTACAGTTTTCTATGACAACAGCAGGGTAGTAGCAAACTCAAAGGAACCACAGACTCATAAGGCGAGTAAAAAAATAGAGCGCAAGTACTATCTAATACGAGAAATCGTTGTACAAGGGGAAGTCATTGTTGCCAAGATAGCGTCAGAGGACAACCAAGCAGATCCTTTAACGAAGAGCCTACCGGCGAAGGTCTTCGACCGACACGTAGAAGGAATGAGAGTCAGGCGTAGGGTGACTAGTTAGATTAGTCTTTGAGAATTAGATTGAAAGAAAACATACTTAATATTAGTCGAAAGATTTATAGAGTATAGTGTAAAAGCTCAGCTTTCAGTTTCTGACAATACCATTTTGAATTAGAATTATGTTTTAGTCAAGTATTTGTGTTTCATTTTATTTATTTATGCGAGCATCAATTCCTTTATTTTATGTTGTGGATAATATGGTTCGATATGTCGAACAGAAAAATCATATTATTACATTGTAAAATATAAATAATGAAGTCACAGTCTAAACAGAATTGAACAACTATTGGTAAAGGTTGTAGTGTGATTTTGGTTCTGTTGATCTTTGACTAGTGAATTACACTAATATTTATTAAATGGACCTACGAAAAAGAAGATTATTTGAATACTAACCAAGTAAATAATCTAGACCTCAATAATTGATGTGTTCTGTTAAGTCGTAAGATAATAAACATGCATATGTACTCGTCACTTATTTATTTGATTTACCAAGGGCGATTTCTATTTTAGTTAAGATGACATACTCGATGTGCTGTTAAAATTATTTATGGTTACTATGTCCCGGTCTGTTGGGTTGATGACATCCCCGAAATGAGCTCATGAAAGCTTATTATGTTAAGCCCTGCAGGCGGATTGATTTTCCAACATAATAATCAAGAACTGAGTGGTATTAATTTCGGATGATAAATAAAATAAATTGATTAATTATATTATCAGTAATTAAATAATCAATAGACATTATATCTTAAACATGGGGAAGTAAAACGATCAATTAAATTAATTAATAAGGGGGCAAATTTATTTGTAAATTGGAGCTAAATGGGAAGATCAATAATATTACTCTAGTGGAATGATTTATTATTTACTCAAATAAGGAGAAAGAGTTAAATTGTCTTCTAGAATTTTCCGAAGTAAGAGGATCTAATACCTTCTAGAATATTACCAAGGTAGGAAGGCATGGAGTCTTCTAGAAGGGTAATTAAGTTGGAAGGGATTAGACTTCTAGAAGGGAAGGGAGTTGGAAGACATAAGGTTTCCTAACCCTATTTGGAGAAGACCATAATAAATACACCAAGTCCCAACACCTCCTACATACCATAAGCCATCCGATTTTAGCCTTGAAAAAAGAGGGGGGAAAATCGAGTGAAATATTTAGTAGGGTTCGGGAGTTTCATTTAGTCGCACCACCAAGACTATTCGAAGTAGGTGTAAGGGTAATATATTAGAAGATCATAAGGTATAATATTTCGAGATCCCGACGAATATATTATCACCGAAAAAATTCCCGGCAACCACCAATTCGCCGAAAACCGTCGCAGCCAGCAACTAGTGCTGTTAAATTAAATGAGCATGGCTCGGATTGTTAAGGCTCGAGTCCAGCTCAGCTTGTTTGATAAATGAGTCGAGCTCGAGCTCATTTAAATCTCGTTTGGTTAACGAGTCGAGCTCAGCTCGGCTCGATATAGCTCATTAAATCTCGAAAAGAGAATTTTTATATAATTTTCTATAATTTGACTCGTTAAAGCTCAAAATTGGCTCGAACTCGGCTCGTTATGAGTGTTAAACGAGCCGAACTTGAGCTTGATTTTGGGCTCGCTTATCTAACGAGCCGAGCTCGAGCTCGACCTCGAGCACCCCAAGCTCGAGCTCGGCTCGACTTGTTTATAACCTTACCAACAGCCCACTGCCAGCCGCAGCGATCCCCGACGACTCCCTTCCCAGCCGCACGCGTGAATCATTGGCGACAGCACTCGACACTCGTGACCCATGCATCCCTGCAACGTGCAGACCGCGACGTCCCAGGCCAGACGACACCACACGCGACCAGATGACGCCCCGTCCAATTTTTCCGCATGCCGCGACGCTCCAAATCTCAGGCGAGACGCACGGCCCGCGACATCCTCAGATGCATTCCCGTGACCTGACATGACCCCGAACAGCGCCCGACGTGCGTGCACGCAAGCTGCACGTGCACAAGTCC